TCTTGGCTAAACAGGGAAATCACGGCCCTCTTAAAGAAGAAAGAGGTTTATAAACAATGGAAGCTCGGGGCGGGCCCCAAGGAGGACTATTCCATGACGGCCCGCATTTGCAGGGAACACATAAGAAAGGCTCAAGTGGCAACCAAACTTAAATTAGCAATGGGAATCAAGGACAACAAAAAGTCCTTCTTTAGGTACATAGGAAACTCAAGGAAAACAAAGGGGAGTATAGGGCCATTGCTCAACAATTCAGGAGAGCTGGTTACCAGAACCCAGGAGAAAGCTGAACTCCTGAATTACTGCTTCGCCTCGGTATTTCACCAGACCAAAGGGGAAAACCACACCAGGTAGAGTAGAGCGTAAGCATGGTAGGAACAATTGCCTTCCTACTACTGCTGTACAATTGGTGTATGACCAGTTAATAAAATTAGATGTATACAAGTCAGCAGAACCAGATGTTCTTCATCTGAAAGTGCTGAAGGAGTGGGTCAAAGTCACTGTGAGACCCCTGGCAAAAGTCTTCCACAACTCATAGTGCTCTGCAGAAGTCCCTGAGGACCGGAAGAGGGCCAATGGTGTGCCCATCCACAAGAAAGGCAGGAGGAAGGACCCAGGTAACTGTAAGCCAGTCAGCCTAACTTCCACCTTAGGGAAAATCCTAGAAAAGTTCATCAAGGAGTCTATCTGTAATAAGCCTGCAGAAGGTAAGATTCTGAATGACAGCCAGCCTGGCTTCGTCATGGGCAGGTCTTGCCTTACCAACCTCATCTCCTTCTATGACCAGGTAACATGACCTGGACATGAAACAGCAGGTTGACACTGTATACCTAGATTTCCAAAAGGCCTTTGATCCAGTATCCCATGATGTTCTCATGATGAAATTGGAGGAGTGTGAGCTTAACTCCTAGACAGTCAGGTGGGGGAGAAACTTGCTGAAGGATAGGACCCAGAGAGTTGTAGTGAATGGGTCTGTGTCATCCTGGCAAGAAGTGAGCAGCGGTGTCCTGCAGGGGTCAGTGCTTCATCCAGTACTTTTCAACATGTTTATTAACAATTTGCATGTGGGGGCTCACTGGCCAAGTTCGTGGATGACACCAAGTTATGGGGAAACGTGGTCACCCTTGAAGATAGGGTGCAGTTATAGACAGACGTAGACAGGCTGGCAAGTTCAGCGGATCAGAACCTGATGAAATTCAACAGTGAGAAATGTCAAGTGCTCCACACTGGCATGAACAACCCCCAACACACCTAAAGGCTTGGCGGCACCAAACTGACTAATGAAAAGGACCTGGGGATAACAACAGACCACAGTATGAATATGAGCCGGCAGTGCAATGCTGTAGCCAGTAGGGCAAATAATACTCTGGCATGTATCAATCGATGCATCTCCAGCAAAGCCAAGGAGGTGATTCTTCCACTGTACTCAGCACTGGTGAGAGAACAGCTGGAGTACTGCATCCAGTTCTGGGCACCACACTTTAACAAGCACATGGACAAGCTTGAGAGAGTCCGAAGAAGAGCCATCTGTATGATCACAGTCTTAAAAGGCAAGCCATATGAGGAAAGGCTGAGGGATCTGGGACTGCAACCTGAGGAAAAGAAAGCTGAAAGGGGACCTGGTAGCAGCTTACTGCTACACTAGGGGAGTACATCAAGGGCTTGGTGAGCAACTGTTTACCAGGGCACCCGAGGAGAAAAGCAGGAGTAATGGCCACAAATTCCTGGACGATCGATTCAGGCTCAACATCAGGAAAAATGTCTTCACAGTCAGGGTGTCCAGACTGTGGAATAAGCTCCCTCCAGAGGTGGTGTAATCGCCTACCCTGGAAATCTTCAAGACGAGACTAGATGGTCACGTGGCTGGGATCACCAGACCCCCAGTTATCTTTCCTGCTTCGTGCAGGGGGCTGGACCTGATGATCTTCCGAGGTCCCTTCCGGCCTTACAATCTATGAACTTTACATGGGCCCACTACTGAAATCCAGGGTACTGTATACTGTTGGGGACCTGTCAATGGCAGAGGACAACCTATAGCTGTGTTAACTCTCACAGTTCCCTGATGCCACTCACCCTATTATCTGGATCTGCCCTGTGAGGAGCAACACCAGTTTGATACTCCAGTCTAGAGGAACTGCATGTTTGTTATGCAAGTTCTGTTTCTTAAAGACTAAGCTTATGATCCCAAAAGGATAATTATTCAATAAAGCCACTGTAAAGAGATGAGTATCAATTTTGAAAGAAGATTTAAATTGATATTGTAAATCTGAAAATCAACATAGTCTGAATGAAGGAAATCTGAACTTAAACAACTTTCCCTTTTAATTAGAAAAAACTGGCTTAATACTTTTAAAATGGTGATTTAAACATTTGATATTAAAGAAAATGACTTTTTTGGTTTACAAAGCATTGTTAAAACCTCTTTCAAACAAACTAAATATTAAATACATTACTTCACAATTTATAGCAATATTGAATTTGATTCCTTACAAAAGCATCATGCATTTAGGATCCTTAAAATTAATAAAACAAGTGTTTAAAAATACTATCTTGCTTTCAGGCAAACGGATATTGTATTTGGACCTCTCATGCCATTTCTTTATGTATTCCTGTCTCATGAAGATATGACCTTTGCCTTCCTACTGTACATGATTTTGTCATTTGATTCCAAACTAGAAATTATTTTATGCCAAGACTTTTTCTATAATTTATTTCTACTAAGCCATGAAAGAGTATAATCATGCAACAGAAAAACTATAAAATTGCTTTTACTAAAATTAGAAAAGTTTTGCATATATATCTTTGAATATAAGTTACTACAGTGACAGTTTAGCTTTTAAAGCTAACTATTACTATGCAATAAAATTAAACATTAGAACTGCTGTTATCCAGTCACTTATATCTTGAGTAACAATATAAGGATAGGAGGAAATAGACTGAGAACAGTTATCTTGAGCTGAACTACCTAATGAGGAGTCAATAAAACAATATGAAATTGGGAAAAAATAGTGCAAAAGTGATTAACACAGCATATTTTTCATATTCATTTATCTGTATTCCATTTGTTCAAGGAGAAACATGAAGAAAAAGCAGACTATGTTTTACTCCTGAGCTTGCTAGGCCTACTGAAATCTCCCTAACCCCAACATCATTGGGGACTTGAATTTTGAGTCATAAAACAAAAGTGTTCTAATTGGAACACTCCATCAGATTCAATTAATCAAGTCTGTTCTGATGCATTCTAATTGGAACGCGCTGGAGCACTTGTATAGGAACCCATATTGATCACTACCTTGCCCAGCTGCATTATATTCTTGGAGCAACTATAGCAAAGTACTTGAATACTTTTAAGGTGGAAAAAATGTGATTTGCACTCTGGTCTTAGGTCATACAATTCCACTACCTAAAAAAAAGTTACAACATTTTAAGCAGCCATAGTTACATCCTTTATCATTTTTAACTCAGACACTGTATTTGACTAAGTGTAGTAGTAGGGGATGATGCATATAAATGATGCATAAAGAATGTAGGCCAACTTCCATAACTCTTCAGCCATTCAAATGTGCTTAAGTCAAGCAAATTTCAAAAACATCAGCAAAGGAGAATGTAATAGTTAGGTCATCAGTTTAGGGCATTAAAAAAACCCTAATTTTGGAGTGGTATCTAGAGCTGATCATAAAAAAAAAAGTTTCACCAGAGAATGCTGCATCACTGAGACTAAAATATCACATTTGAAATATCTAAAGTTCAATGAACCTTTCACCAAGTACAAGGCAGGAGGTACAAAGAAACCTGCCTGGATGTGTGGTGTACTGCCTCAGGGCTGGAGATCCTGTATTTCCAGGATCCTTGACTCCAGAGCAGGTAGTCATGCTAAGGTTTCCAGGCTTGCTGCCACAGAATCAGGAGCCCAAAGGACATGGCTCTAAATAAATCTACAGATACTATAATTCTAGGCACCAATTAAAACATTCACTTTGGCAGTTGCTATTGCATTTATGATGGTAGGAAAAACCATTCAAGGTCTTTGTTATAGTTGCTCCAAGAATGTAATACAACTGGGAAAGGTGGTGATCAATATAGGTGCCTATGCACATGCTCCAGCACATTCCAATTAGAACGTGTCAGAACAGACTCAATTAATCAAGTCTGATCGAGTGTTCCAATTAGAACGCTCCAGCATGCTGCAGTGTCTCATGTATTCAACATCCTGCGATTTAAAATGGCTGCATAGGTGCTTTAAACTAAAGCTCATTGAGTGAGCTTCAGTTAAAGCGCCCCCACGGCCATTTTGAAATGTGGGGCACTGAATACACATGATGTTGCAGTTTTTTTAGAGTAGCTCCCAAGTCCCAGTCCCCACCTCCCCACCCAGGCACCCCATATCAAATGGAAAAGATGTTCTCTCAGATGAATTAAATTCTATCCCATAAGTGTTTCAAAGAGACTAGTGCTACAATGTCCAAGGAAACAAGTGAAGATAGGGCCAGTTTATTTTTTTACTGGATTAGTAGTTTCATACTACATTACCTCTTTTCATAAGAAAACAGACACAATGAAAATTCCTACAGCGACACTGTACCAAAACAAACAAAAAATTTAGGTTTATAGTGTCACATTGAAACAAAATGTTTTAATGAGTGATAAGAGAGACAGTTTGAGCATGATGTAATTTGAATTGTGATTAAAATTAGAAGACTGATTTTTCCCTCCCAAAATGATTTGCCTCTGCTTCATTGTTTATTAGTAAACATGTGTTCCAAAATAAGGTTCAAATAAAGAGAACAAACCTGTAGAAGACTACCATGCATATGCTGCAGAATGACAATGATATAGAAAGGCAAAAATGTTTTGGACAGGATGAAAATCTTAAAAAAAATATATACAAAAAACCCCACAAGTGTTAAAAAGGGGAGGAGGAGGAGTGAAAGGAAGAAGGATGGAATCAAAGAATGAACATTGAAAAAAAACCTTACTTACAAAAAATGGTAAGTTTTACTCACAGAACTTTTTCTCCAGGAGGTTTGTGTGAATTTGTCAGCCAATGTGCACGTTGCCGCTTTAGGTTTTTGGCCATCTTCGTGGCAGTTGCATCTAGTAGTCTTAAGCCCACCAAAAGACAGG